GGGAGGAATAATGTCCCATCATTGGTATCAGTGTAAGAAATAGTATCCCATTGTTGGTGTCAGTGGGAGGAATAGTACCTCATATCATTGGGAGGGATAGTTCCCCAAGGGCCGGATAAAAGCTAGCAAAGGGCCACATCCAGCCCTCGGGCCACAGTTTGGAAACCCCTGCAATACACCATCCTTTAGTCTCTTGCGAGAAGAGAAGGTGCATACAAAAAAAAATGCTGGACTCGATGAGGGAAAATAGTAACTCTTTGTGAAGGAATCAGGTTAGAATTGGGTCCATGTAACCAGGAGCTCTATGTAGCCTTGCTCATTTAAATTTCATCGCTGGACAATGTAGCTGACCTTGGATTTGCATTGCTGGATTTTTTGTTTAAATATAGGTTAAACAGTTTCAGTGGGTTTATTTACTGTTTACTTTTTTGTGAATGAGTAAGAGTACTGTGTATCCCTTACTCTCTCACCTCTCTCACTTGGAGAGGGGGGGTCATCTGGTCCCCTTTTAAAAAAAAGTGGATTCCAAATTCTGATAAGCCACCTGTCTGCAGACCCCCACAACCACTGGGCCAGTGTTGTGAGGAAGAGGTACCAGTCCTCATCAACATGGACAAGGGGTTCCCCTCCCATGCTGGGGGCATGTGATCTGGTATAGTTTTGGGAGGAGCACAAAATTGTTCCCCCCTTTCCTGACCTACCAGGTTTCATATTTGGACCAGGGTCTGGTGTTGATTATGGGGTGACCGCCACACTTTTTTGTGTATGAGGTCCCCCTTTAACATATGTTTGGGTGACTAAAAATCATCAATTTCATATGTATGTTAAAATACAGTAATTAATTGAAACAGAAACAGCTGTGTATGAGGCTTAAAACTGGGTGAGGAGCAGCCAAACTCTGCTACTAAGGTGAGGTTGTGGAAGACAGTTTCATGTCACAGGTCATACACCATGGCAAGACTGATCAAGTTCTCTTCCAGGCAAAGATTTCAAGGCAGACTGGGGGTTTTAAGATGTGGTGTTCAAGCTCTTTTGAAGAAGCACAACAAAATGGACAAAACTGAGAACTGAAGATACAGTGATCAGCCAAGGAACCTTAATGCAGCTGATGAAAGACACATCATGCTTACTTCCCTTTAGCATTGGAAGATGTCTAGCAGTGCAGTCAACACAGAACTGACAGAAACCAGTGGGACTCAGGTACAGCCATCTACTGTGGAGACGTCTGGCTAGAAGTTGTCTTCTGGAAGAACTGTGGCCAAAAATCTATACCTCCGATGTGGAAACAAGGTGACGTGACTCAACTATGTACAAAAACATAGGCATGTGCTCTGAACTAATGAGTCAAAATTCAAAATATTTGGCTGTTGCAGGAGGCAGTTTGCTGGGGAAGTGGTATACTAATGTCTGCAGGCAACAGTAAAGCATGGTGGTGGTTCCTTGCAAGTAAAGTATCCCAGGATAGATGACAAAAGATCTGCATCTAAGTGAGAAACCCATTACATTATTCATAATATGAATAACTTCCATCTAATATTCTTTGAATTCAGGACAGCACCACAGTAAGTGGATCAAGTCTCCATGAGGTTGACTACACCTACTGCATCAAAAATCCTGTCGTAGACCTATGCCATAAAGGACATGAGAAAGATGCATATCCATCATGCCATACCATCAGGGAGGTGTGTGATTGACCCCAAATTCATTCTGCAGCAGGACAATGACCCCAAACATACTGCCAATGTCATTATGAGCTATCTTCAGCATAAAAAAGAACAAGGAGTCCTGGAAGTGATGGTTTGGCCCACACAGAGCCTGATCTAAACACCATGGAGTCTGTCTAGGATTACATCAAGAGACAGAAGGATTTGAGGCAGCCTACATCCACAGAAGATCTGTGGTTAGTTCTCCAAGATGTTTGGAAGAACCTACTCGCCGAGTTCCTTCAAAAACTGTGTGCAAGTGTACCTAGCAGAATTGATGCTGTTTTGAAGGCAAAGGGAGGTCATACCAAATTTTTTTTTGATTTTGATTTCTCTTCTGTTTGTTTGCATTCCATTTTGTCAATTGACAAAAAGTAAACTATTAACACTTCTATTTCTGAAAGCATTCATTATTTACTCATTTACAGAATTTTTGAGCTCTGAGGAAGAAGGCATAGCCTTCAAAACGTTTCAGCTATACTGAGTGTCTACCCCCATGATGGGATTCGCGCTGGCTTCCTATCTTTGAAGTCCCTTTGAGGACTACATGCCTGATTTTATTCGCTGTTTGTGAGTACCTATCTTTTATTAATAAATTCTGTTACTGAGGTAATGTGCAGGGTTGGTGCGCTTCTTGTTTTTTGTTTCACTTTGCAGTATCGATCGGGCTTCACCAGCCCTGTTTTGGAGCTGCACAACCTTGAAATATACTGGTGGTCGCTTGCTCTGGTGTTGGTTCCATCTATTTGCCACCAGTCTGGGCCCTAGAGCGCAGGAGAAATCGCAGCTGGTCTACAGAATTTTTTCACACCTGACTAAAACATTTGCACAGAAGTGTGTGTGTGTGTATATATTTATATTTTTATTCATAGAATAGGTGCAGGAACGCCCCTCTTCTAACTCACCCCTTGTCTCCACCCCAGGTACCCACCTCCGAGCACCGTCCCTTAGTTCCACACCCTACCCACCTTCAACTACCGCTCCTTTTAGAATATGGAGTCAAGTATCATTTTGTGGTGCTAAGTAATTTGTATAGAATTTGTTAATGATGACAAGAAAAGCAATAAAATAAATCCGCTGAAGCCAGCAGCAATAGACCCCCACAACAAAAATAGATTTCCCTAGCAGCAATAAACTCCCCAACAACAATAGACCCCCCCAGCAACAATGGATACCTGCAACAAAATACTACTCCAGCAACATTAGACCCCCCCCAGCAACAACAGTAGATGTTCCAAAAGCCAGCATTAACCTCCTTAGCGGTATTCCCGAGTGTAGCTCGGGGTAAAATTTAAAATACCAAAAGCGATAACCCCGAGCTACACTCGGGCTTACCATGCGGCGTTACTCTGGGGGTCCCTGCAGCACTTACCTTGTCCTGCGCTCCCGCGATGTGTCCCCTGCAGCGTCCTCGGCCATCTCCTCGGCGGATGCCGGCATCCGGCTTCTGTGTTCCGGTCCCTGTGACGTCGGGATGTATGGGCGCCGGAACCGGCGGGAAATTTGAAATTTTTTTAAAAATTTCATTTTTGCTGTCATTGCTGTTTCAATGAATTTCACATACATTTTGTCTTGACTGCTTTGTCCTGTGCCCTGCCTGCATTTTGACTGTTCTTTCTGCCTGGAAACTTAGAAAAGCCCATGGTGTCCAAAAAGCGTCCCTTTAGGTCAAAAGCGGTTGTAGACCGGCTAGAGAACAGCGATAGTAAATCAGAACCACTTGCAGAATTGAGTGATAATGATTCGTGGGGAAATTCCTCATCAGACACTGAAAACGATTTTGCGACTTTGCTCAGCGATGTGCGAATTTTCCTCTGTATTTCAAATTTCAGTGTTTTCGGTTTGATTATATTATTGAATTAAATTTATTATTATTATATATATTATTTTTTATGATTATTTATTAAATTATAATTTATGATTTCGTGTTTCAAGTTTTATCATACCCGGAATGTTTACTAGACTCTTGTTCGGACAGATTTCAGTGAGTTATTCCTAAAAATTACAGCCTACAATAAAAAACTACATATTTCCATGCAAAAAAAAATGGTACCGCTTTCAGCACAAAAAATCGGAAAGAATCATACCGCCAGGGAGGTTAATATGCTCTCCAACAGCCAACAACAATAGGCCCCTCACTCAATAATAGATCCCTTCCAGCAACAATTGACCCTCCCAGTAACAACAGACCTCTCCAACAGCAATAGACCACTATGCAAATATAGATCCCCTTCAGTGGCAATAGATCCCCCAGAAGCCAGCATCAATAGACCCACAAGCGCACCCCTGCATACATTCAATGCTAGAGGTGCTGAAACTGCATTCCCTCACGTTCCCACTGAAAAAAAATATATATATATATATATATATATATATATATATATATACAACAAAATATTTTCTATATGTTTCTATGTTTTGTTTTCACTAGTAGAAAGCAACTGATGCCGTCGCTTTGACTTTTGTTTTTCATGTGTCTGAATACATTTTTCTTCTTTTTGTAGATGTCTATTATGATTTTAAAAATATCTCACACATACTTTTCACACAGAGGCTCAAAAGAGTCTGTCAGGAAATGAAAAACTCCAGCCTGTGAACTTGCGCGGCGGAGCTGACTCTCCGGTGACTAGCTCAGATTTCCACGGCTTTCATTTTAATTGCACATTATGTACTGATTAGAAGGTTATTAATGCCTGCAGATCACACGGTAATTGTAAAATAAATTGTTGAAAGAAACTGTTGTGTGCTGCAATGGCAATTAGTGAATAATTACACATAGCTGTCATTTATTTGTATGATACACTGCATTAAATCTGTTTAGAAAGGCTCCTTTCAAGGGTGGAAAAGACATTCTGTTGGTTTCTAGAGAGGTGGGAATTTAAGTTTGCTTTTCCCCAAACTAAAATCTTCCCTCAGTCAGATAAAATATGAATTATTCATTCTATCAGCAATACATTTTCTTGTTTTCAGAGCTGCTGAGTATTGCCGGCTTCTCTCCACTGTGTGTGTGTGTTCTGTCCTTAAAATTAAAAAAGAAAACAAGAAAAGGCATTGATATCTGTGCAAACCATATAATGATGGGTGCTGAATTTGTGAATTTGTAAATAGATTGGGGTGGAATGTCCCCAGTCTATGTCTATGGCTGAAAATGGAACAAAATCCATTTAAACTGTTTCTCCACTTTTTTTTAATACAAAAAAAATTCCCTCTGGGTGATCTATGTACATTGCAAACATGTTAACAAACTTTGTTGCATATTTTCTTGTTCTGTTTGTTTCATCGGTCCTTTGCAAACTGATTCTGAATGGGAGGGTCTGGTTTGTTATAATCACCTGGTGCACTAAGAAGAAAAGTTACAGGCAGGGGCGGACTGACCATTTGGAACCTCGGGCACTGCCCGAGGGCCCGGGGTCAGTAGGGGGCCCCATGAGATGCCCCTGGTACCTTTTTCATGGGCTTTTTTGAGTTTGGGCAAGGACACAGGAGCCCCATGATCCCCTATTGCCCGGGGGCCCCATGAGTTGTCAGTCCACCCCTGGTTACAGGGTCTATATCATTTAAAAGTAATTAATCCTTAAGCCAGCCAAACGTGGGTCGAATTCCGAAATAATTTTCTTTCAAAAATCTTTTATAAGAATTTTCATTTGCATTTCGCACTATTAGTTTGTGAGATTGGGAAACAGCTCTCATTGTTTGAACACTGTGTGGAGTAAATTTAAATGTTCCGGACTGACATTCTGCGGTTTAGCCACAAGATGCCACTGTTTTCCTAACACAGCCTCAGACTGCATAGATATTTTTCTATATTCATGAAGAGGTGGGGTTTTTGATTCAGAGTTTAGAGAACAGGAAGAGGAGAGAGAGAGGAGCCATGTTTGGAGGATGGTGAATGAAGGAGCTGGGTGAGCAGAGAATCTGATGGCATCCAGGTGTGAGAGCATCCCTCAGTAACCAGAGCTGCAGCTAAGTGAAGCTGATCGTGTCCAAGACCCTGATCCTGTTCAGAGAAAGGAATATTGCTGCCAGGAATGCTGATGAGAGCAGAGGAACAAAGTAACATACACTGCGATACCGCATGCTTGTTGGAGAGACATTTGTTCTGTTCAGAGTCACCAGCGGATGAAAAGCAGTCCCGGGTCGGTAAGATCGTGCACGCACCTCATTTCAGTGTTGACGCCTAGAGACTGAGACCAGGCCTATAGTTAGTTAGTTAGGGTCTCTGTTTGTGTCAGGCCACAAGTGTTATTACTGATCATTGGAAGGACTTCATAACTTAAAGCGACATTTCACATTGGAGAGCTGATAAAATCCTACAAACTCAAGCCAGACTGGCATTTTGCTCAGAAGGAATACTCAGGCACGTGCTACAGGACCAGTTATGGGAGGGGGATTGTGTAAGATTGTAAGCTGTTGTGCTGCACCGCAGGCTAGCCCATACCGTACACCCATACACTGATTCCTGCTCTTTTAGGGTAATAATGGGTAAGGTGTGGCAGCTTAGTTGTGCCTGCCAGTAGGTAAATTACTACACTTTCTACCGTCATCCATCAGGAGGCGCCGTGCTGTGCAGCACAAGGGTCTCAGCCTTTGGGCTGGGTGTATGTAAATTTATTGTTTGTTTCCAGCATTTGCGGTTGTGTTTATTTGCCACATCTAAGTAAAATTCTGTTATGGCAAAAGCTGGTGTTGGGGTTGCGTTCCTCGTTCGTGACTTCACTGTATCCTGGGGAGCCACCCCGGTACACGGCTTACAATTGAGTCACAGCAATGGCCGATTTTCGAGCGACCATCGAATTTGAGTAATTGGGCATGTTGGAAATTTTTTGAAAAATTAACAAATTTCTAATCAATGATGGGAGAATCGCGCGAGAACTGTAATCGAAAAAGAAATGAGCTGTGACCTGGAAAGAAAAGAAAATTCTTGGCCACAAAAATTCTGTTCTGTAGCAACATAACATGAAATTGAAGGCATGGTTGGTTGAATTTCGAAATCAATGATGGCGCCATCAGATTACAACATGGACAAAATTTCCGATTTTCTAAAGAAAATTTGTCCGGAATTCTACCCAAGTATGGCCTGCACTAGGAAGTATCTTACCAAGATGAAATTTCAATTGCATGGGGTGTGCCAAAACTATTATTTGTATCTTATGCAGGCCATACATGGGTTGAATTCCAAACAAATTTTTTTTAGAAAATTGGAAATTTTTTGCAGGTTCCTGCAATCAGCTCCACCTGGCCACACCTGCTGGGAGGGTATTTATGTTCCACTTCTGCTATTACTCCTTGCGTCAGTGTTTTGATTGCCTTGCTTGCTGCCAGAGCCATCTTGCTCTTGAACTAACTTTTCATCCAGTTCCCTTACTGCTGCTCACCTTATTCTTGAACCCAGTTGATCCCCCCTTCTTCTTGCTTTGCCCTAGTTACCCTTGTTTCCCATATTATATATATACACTGCTCAAAAAAATTGAAGGAACGCTTTTTAATCAGAGTATAGCATCAAGTCAATGAAACTCCTGGGATATTGTCTGGTCAGTTAAGTAACAGAGGGATGTTGGTAATCAGTTTCAGCTGCTTTGGTGTTAATGAAATTAACAACAGGTGCACTAGATGGGCAAAAATCAGACAACCCCCAAAACAGGAATGGTTTTACAGGTGGAGGCCACTGATATTTTTTCCCTACACATCTTTTCTGACTGTTTTTCACTAGTTTTGCATTGGGCTAGGGTCAGTGTCACTACTGACAGCGTGAGACAATACCATATAGAGGTTGAACAGGCAGTCCAAGTCCTCCAGGATGGCACATCAATACGTGCCATTGCCAGAAGGTTTGCTGTGTCCCCCAGCACAGTCTCAAGGGCTTGGAGGAGATTCCAGGAGACAGGCAGTTACTCTAGGAGAGCTGGACAGGGCCGTAGAAGGTCCTTAACCCATCAGCAGGACCAGTATCTGCTCCTTTGTGCAAGGAACAGCAAGAGCACTGCCAGAGCCCTACAAAATGACCTCCAGCAGGCCACTGGTGTAAATGTGTCTCTGACCAAACAATCAGAAACAGACTTTATGAGGGTGGCATGAGGGCCCGACATCCTCTAGTGGGCCCTGTGCTCACTGCCCGGCACCATAGAGCTTGATTGGCATTTGCCATGGACCTGAAAGGGTCTGGAGAAGCCATGGAGAACATTATGCTGCCTGTAACATCGTTCAGCATGACCATTTTGGTGGTGGGTCAGTGATGATCTGGGGAGGCATATCCATGAAGGGATGCACAGACCTTTACAGGCTAGACAATGGCACCCTGACTTCCATTAGGTATCAAGATGAAATCCTTGGACCCATTGTCAGACCCTACTCTGGTGCAGTGGGTCCTGGGTTCCTCCTGGTGCACAACAATGCCCTGCCGCATGTGGAGAGATTATACAAGCAGTTTCTGGAGGATGAAGGAATTGATACCACTGAATGGCCCCCATGCTCGCCCAAGTCGCAGAATCGTTTTCAGTGTTGGATAACAGCGTACATAGGGGCCATGCACATGCCCAGAAAGGAGTAGCTGCGCCAGGCAATTACGTCACGAGCCGTGACTCATTAGCTACGACTCGTCCGAGCTTTTGCATGACTGGTCAGTGCACTGCCAAGGATATATATTTGCACTGGCTGTGAGTTTTGATATATTCGTTTTTATTAACACAAGATTTTAGCTTGTGCTGGTGGTCAGTGGAAGTTTGCTCCCTTGTGATGGTGGACAGTGGAACCTTGCCCCTTGTGCTGGTGGTCAGTGGAACTTTGCTCCCTTGTGATGGTGGTCAGTGGAACTTTTCCCCCTTGTGCTGGTGGTCAGTGGAACTTTGCCCCCTTGTTCTGGTGGTCAGTAGAACTTTGCTCTCTTGTGCTGGTGGTCAGTGGAACTTTGCCTCCTTGTTCTGGTGATCAGTGGAACTTTCCCCTTTGTGCTGGTGGTCAGTGGAACGTTTCTTCCTTGTGCTGGTGGTCAGTGGAACTTTGCCCCTTGTGCAGGTGGTCAGTGGAACATTGCCCCTTGTGCTGGTGGTCAGTGGAACTTTGCCCCCTTGTGCTGGTGGTCAGTGGAACTTTGCCCCCTTGTGCTGGTGGTCAGTGGAAGCTCTGTTATTGTGTTTTTCTTTTAAGACAAAAGATGTCAATGTATGGGTTGTGTTTCCTAAACTAAAACCTTAGTATTCAAGTTCGCCATCACTGCTTTAGGGTCTAATTTAAAGCTGAATTCTTGGGAAATGTTTAAACTACCCTTGAAATAGGGTTTCCCCTGCACTGCAAAAGGGAAATGTTCATTTTTGTCTACATACCATTAATAAACAAATTTACCTTATCCCTCACTTCCCCCACAGTCAACACCTATCTCTTCCCTCCAATGTTGCAAACAGGCTGGGGTGCGCAGTGGTCATTCAACCAGCTGGTTGCACACAAAAAAAGCAGATGCCTGCATCCACACAAACAAAGTGGCACCTTCCCAGCTTTGCTGTTGTATTCTGATGGCAGTGACTCCCTGCTGTCAGAATATACTGATCAGTGCTTCAGCCGACTGGCTGCTAGCCAATGACCAAAGGAAGTTTTCCAACGGCTCCATTTTGACAGAAGCTGATCTAACAATTGGCTTCTGTTGAATCAGGAGGGCTACATACACATCAGAAAGTGGCTGGTACCTGCTGAACCTGTCAATTATCATCCATGTGTAACCAGCTTTAAGTGCCCTGACTTACAATGCAGGACTGCTGATCCAGCATTGTACATTGGAGAAATATTAAAGGCTCTTTGCTTAGTGCTGAAATCAAAACCAAGAACCAATAAGGTAAGCTGCAATAGAATACACAAATAGAGTCCATAAATATGAGTGAAAAAATCAAACTCCAAGTACGTAGTGCCTCAAGTATCTTGTGAATATTATGCAGGCAAATGTACTTTCACACACCAACAGGCGCACACACTGCTTACCAGATTCTTAGATCCCCATATCGTGATGGGTCAACAACTCTTTTTAATGCATCAGAATCCAGGGTGATATGATTGGAAATGGGGATATACTCAACGGAAGGCCCAATCAATCCACGGCGCCACATAAACAAAGAAAATACAAAAGACAAAATAGTGTAATACCACCAGGTACTGTTTATTTAAAATACCATCTGATATTCACAAAGGATGATGGTTCCCCCGATGGTTCCTCCCTACATGTGTCATCATAATAGATATCGCTAGGGGGTCGGAGAGTACATTGATGCAAGACTGCTGGTCCAATCACATCCCCCGGACGAAGCCACGTGACCCTGTGGCGCAACGCGTTGGGGAGGGGCACTGACGTCACCACGTACCCGGACTCCTACACACGGCGAGTACAGGAAGTGTGTGTCTACACGCCGTTCTGGCTGGACACATCCAATACTAAAAGCGTTTTGATATTTTTACAAATGTAAGTACAAATTTGGCACTAATAAATTTTTATGTTCACCAAGGATAAGGCACTATCCCTCTTTCTTTTTTCTGGCAATACGCGGAGTAACAGGGACA